CGTGGAGTTTTCCTGAAGCCTAATGTGAATTGGGGGTAGAGGTGGTGGTTTCCCTTTGAGTTTGAGGCTAAGGTGTTGGCTTCAAGACCCCCAGTCTCCAGCAATTCATCCTGGCCACGGGTGGGACTTGGGGGGACTCTGCCCCAGCACCCCTGTGCCCTTTCCCCCAGCAGGGATTGGAGGGCGATAGGGCAACCCCACTCCGGCTGTTTTCTGAAGTAGCTGGTCACTGCCTGTCTGGTGTTTCTTGACACCTTGTTTTTTCCTTTTCCAGACACAACAGCTGGGAGCCAGAGGAAAATATCCTGGACCCGAGGCTGCTCCTGGCCTTCCAGAAGAAGTGAGAAAGTTAACACCACGTGTGGGAAGGGGGACAGCGTTGGGGACACAGTGGCCTATCATAGAGCCGTGCTGGCCTTCCAGGGGTCCGGGGCTTGTGCTGTGGTCTGAGTTCCAGTAGCGGTGGTCACCAGAGGACCTTCTGTCCCATGTCTGAAGGTGCAGCAAGCCCCGAGGTCCCAGATGAGACCCTACCCCACCTTCCCTCGGCTGGCCCGCGTGTGTCCAGACCTAAGAAGTCACTGAGTTAGCGCTGCTTTGGGCCTTTGTGACAGCCACGCGTGCAAAAACGAACCTTCTCGGTTCCTTCGTGAAAAGTTCTGGTTCCTCTGGTTGGCCTTTTTTGTTGAGTAATTTGCTAACAGCGCTAAGAAAAACCAGGATGACAGGTTTGCCATAAAATTAGCGACCTGGCTGCCCGGTGCTGCCTGAGGGTGCCGTTGGGCAAGAGAGGGCTCAGAGAGGGAGCCCAAACAGCACAGCAAAACGTTACGCCTGCTGTGGTATTCTGTGCTGGAAACAACACGTCTAAGCTGTGAGCCAGGTGGGACTGAGCGCGTGCCCTTGCCAGTCTCAGGGGACGAATTTGCTCTTGTAATAATAGATGTCATCTTTTCTTTTAGATAGGAGACTGGGGTTGAGAGAGACGTCTTTGACTTCAGGCAAAAGGGGGGTGAGGGGCAGGCGATGGGTGGGCCTCCCACCCTGGCCTGAGGGTCCGGGGGTGGAGGGTGCTGTTCCCAAGCACGCTGGTGGAGGCAAGGTGTGGGTGCTTTGCTGGGGCTTGCCCTGTTGATAGAGGCAGATGGGTTAGTTGCTCAAAAACTTGCCCGTCTAGGGTCAGTCTGGCCAGCGTGTTCTCTGGTCCACTTTTTAACCCACTCCCCCGGCCCCCCACTGAAGCATGGTGTTTTTGGTCTTCTCAGAGAGGCCATGACAACAGGAAGAAAATAAAGCTAGGCTTTTGGTAGGGTGAGCAAACACGAGGTGAGCCTAAACTTGAATACCTTTGGAAAAGCTTATCAATAACCTGATATCTGATCATCTACTATTTAATTCGTAATCCGGGTCTTGTAAGTGAGGTTGGGGGGATGGGGGGGGCATCTGGTCCATTTCTCTGTGAGACAGCATCCTAACTGTTGAGAGAGGGTGTGTCCTTAACTTTACTTTGGGTTATTGCACGGCAGGTAAGAACTGGGGTTAGCAAGTGTCCGAGAGGTGTAAGGATTGAAGTATGGGGTAGTCTGGTTTCCATCATGGGGGAGAGAAATCAGAGAAGGTGGGTGTCTCCCTTCCCCTCTGCGCCCAGTAGAACCCGCACCCCTGGAAGCTAGGAGCTGGCAGTCACATGCTTGGCGTGGGGTAATGTGGCATTTTTAAGGGCAAGCCTGAGGTTCAGAATCTGCAGGTGAGGTTAACGTATCGGCAGAGGAGACCCTGAGATGGCCCTGCCCTTTTAGGAGACCAGTTAGGGGCCGCTTTGGACTCTGAGTTCTGTCTGGTTGTACTCACTGGATCCTTTAAGAGATGCCCTTTCGGGCCCCAACGAGGTGATGTTTGTCTGTTTTAATTACCGGGAAGCTTCTCCGGATCGAGCCTCTTCCCCAGGGGTGCCCTGAAGTACCAGCTTCCTCTGGGGGTGGCTGGAGGCGGCTGTCTTGGCTTTACGACCCTGAGTCCCAGGAGTTCCCGAGCTGACTGGAGATGTCCTCCTGGAGGTGTGAGCTTTGAGCCCCAGCCATTTGGGGACTGGGCGCCTCCAGTGCTCCCAATCTAGAATACTGTCTAGGAACAGCGAGGTCCTAGGAAGAGGAACCGGGGAGGGAACTGTGAACCAGGGGCACCGGCTCTAAGAGCAGAGTCCTTGGTCCCCCCCCGACCTGTGCCCCGGGGACGTGTGAGCGTGGTGCAGCTGCGGAGAGGTAGAGGCTGGGGCCCGTGGTCCTTGTCTCCCTGCCTGGGACTCTCGTTTGGAATGGTGGGGTCGCACCACGTGGGAGTTCTGGCTCCTAGTGGGCTGCGTTCTAGAAGTTCCATAAAACGTTTTTTTTGCAGGAAGTAACTGCGGTTAGCACAGGTTTGTCTGAAGGGGAGTCAGAAAACCGGAGAAGTGTTCCTTTCCCAGCTTTGCTGGAATTTCTCTCGCTTTTGCAAATGAAACGGAGGGATGGAAAACAATATGCATATCACACAGGGGAGGGTGTAGACCTCTGCGGTAGATACGTTAACTGACTGTCCAGGTGTTAGCAGTGAAGGTGGCGATCAGCTACCCGAGGCTCTGAGTGTCGGGCTGTTGGAAGCCCTGGGGTTCCCCTGTGGTGGGAGGGGGTGTGGGTGCAGGGCTTCTCCCACCCTGATTGGTGACTGTCTTAAGGGAACACGAGAAGGAGGTGCAGAACCGGAAGCGAGGCAAGCGGCCGAGGGGCAGGCCCAGGAAGCACACAGTGATGTCCTGTAGCCGGCACTCCAAGCTCAAGGTGGGTGGCTGCTGGCCTGACGTGGCTCCTTCCCTCCCAGCGCTCTCTCTGGGCGGGGCGGGAGGGTTGAGGGCTTTGGGGAACAGGGATGGGGCTGCTGTGGCTGCAGAGGTGGTTCCCTTGCTCAGAAGACCCCGGCCTCAGGCTTCCTTCCTCACTTGTGCCTCTGCCAGCAGGGGGCAACAGCAAGCCCCAGCTCCTGCCCCTGCCCCTGCCCCTGCCCCTGCCCCTGCCCCTGCCCCCAGCAGGGCCCTGCCCTGGCCGACCCCCTCCAGAACCGGTTTCTTGTTCATTCTGTGTTCTTCCTACACTCCTTTCTAGTGGGCGGCAGGGTCAGACTTGTCTGCTGACCACTGTCTCACTGCTGGTGGCTCACAGGAACAGGAAGGACACCGTAGGCGCTTGTAGATTCACTGAACAGACACAACTACCCGGGGCAGTTCACGGGTACACACGCACCTGGGGGCCGTGGCAGCATCCTGCCTTCAGTTCCGAGGCAGCATGGAGCAAAAGGGTCAGGGCCTCGGTCTTGACCGTGTCTTCCATTCCTTTCTCGAGGGCCCTGCCCCAGGATCTCAAAACGACACACTGTGGCCCAGAGCTCAGTCGCTTACAAAAACCGCCCTTGCGGGGGGCTGTGGAAACCTTGCTTTAAGCTTTGGGGGGGTCCGGTGTGGGAGACTACGGGGTGTTTACGGAGGGAGGCGACGCAGGCCAGCCCTGTGGCTCGGGCTCCCACCAGCTGGGGACCACAGAAGTGGCATCGAGGCAGTGGGCCTGGCTGGACGAGGAGGCCCTGAGGCTCTGGGCAGCACTTGATTGTCCACCGCTGAAGGCAGGCGAGCTTTGCCGCAGGGAGCCCGTGCTGGCTCGGCCTCCCTACGGTGCGCCTCTTGAGACGCCAAGTCAGGGGGAAGTGGGCTGCATTACTTGCACGTGGGGAGACGCCCAGGAGATGGGAGGGCAGCAGTTTGTTTTCCCAGTCGCTGGAATGTTCTGAAGGGGTCACCTTTGGAAGCGTGACGACTGAAGCAGGGTGTCCTCTTGCATTCGGTGGCAGAGCCCTCGCACATCTTCTCCTGCCTCCTAGCCTGAGGCCCGTGAGTTGGGCTGCCCTGCGCTTTCCCGTCTGACTTGTGTGCAGCGGGGTCTGTCCCCGTCACGGCCCTAGTGCCGGGGACGTGGCCGCGCTGACTCTGCCCTGACTTCCTGACCCACCTGGGGTTTCTGGTGCTGTCGGTCCTGCTTTTAACTGCAGTCCACGGACTCTCAGGAGGACTTTCCAAACTTTTCTGGAGCAAGGTGCTGAGAAGTCGCTCCCTCTTGGCTGCTTCTCTCCTGTGGAACCCACCAGAGGTTTGGCTTGGAGGTGTCTGATGCCCTCTGGACGCCGGGGGCCCGGCCGTGGAGGTGGTGACCCCTCCCGCTCTCTTTGCAGGAACCCGACGCCCCCTCCAAGTCCAGCAGTTCCACGTCTTCGTCCACATCTTCCTCCACGTCCTCGGACGAAGACGAAGACAGCGACTTAGACGCCAAGAGGGGTCCCCGGGGCCGCGAGACCCACCCAGTGCCTCAGAAGAAGGCCCAGATCTTGGTGGCCAAGCCTGAGTTGAAGGACCCCGTCCGGAAGAAGCGAGGCCGCAAGCCCTTGCCCCCAGAGCAGAAGGCGGCCCGGAGACCCGTGAGCCTGGCCAAGGTGCTGAAAACCGCCCGGAAGGACCTGGGGACGCCGGCCGGCAAGCTGCCCCCGCCGCTCAGCGCCCCCGTGGCGGGCCTGGCGGCCCTGAAGGCCCACGCCAAGGAGGCCTGCGGTGGCCCCGGCGCCGTGGCCAGCCCGGAGAACCTGGCCAGCCTCATGAAGGGCATGGCTGGCAGTCCCAGCCGGGGTGGCATCAGCTGGCAGAGTTCCATTGTGCACTACATGAACCGAATGAGCCAGAGCCAGGCCCAGGCCGCCAGCAGACTGGCGCTCAAGGCCCAGACCACCAGCAAGTGCGGCCTCGGGCTGGACCTCAAGGTGAGGACGCAGAAGGGGGAACTGGGGATGAGCCCCCCGGGAAGCAAAGCCCCAAAGGCCCCCGGCAGCGGGACTGTGGAGCAGAAAGGAGGGAGTGCGGGGGGGTCCCCCTACGTCCACAGCGGTGGCAAGGCCCCTGCCGGGTGCCTGGGTGCCCAGCCTGCACCCGCCCAGGAGCTGAGCCCCCAGGTCTTGGACTTACAGAGTGTCAAGAACGGCACACCAGGGGTGGGTGCGGTTGCCCGCCATGCTGCGGCCACCAAGGGCGTCCCTGCCACCAACCCGGCCACCGGGAAGAGCGCCGGGGGCGCCCCCCCCGGGGGGAGCGGGGCCAGCGTGTCCTGCGACGCCAACAAGAGTGAGAAGCTGGCTTCTAGGGGGGCCGCTCTGCCCACCCCTGCAGGCAAGAGGGACTGTGTCAAAGGCAGCTCGGGCCCCGGTGGGCAGGAGGGCCACGCGGGCCCCGGAGAAGTGCGCAAGGCGGCCTTGCCGTCCGAGATGAGCACCGGAGAGGAGAACAGCAGTTCCGACTCCGACCCCGACCCGGCCTCCCCGCCCGGCGCTGGACAGAACCTGTCTGTGTCTGTCCAGACCAGCCAGGACTGGAAGCCCACCCGCAGCCTCATCGAGCACGTCTTTGTCACCGATGTCACCGCCAACCTCATCACAGTCACGGTGAAGGAGTCCCCCACCAGCGTGGGCTTCTTCAACCTGAGACATTACTGATGCCCCGTAGCCGCCTGGCTGCCCGGCTCTTGCCTGCCCTTCTCTGGCCTCTGGCTTTGCTTTGATGATGGCCCTGTACCCCGGGCCCTCCCCAGGGTCCGGGTAGCCTCCTTCAAGGGCAGGCTTGGAGGGGACTCCCCGAGGCCCTGCGTGTGGCTTCAGGCAGGGTCATACCTTGATGCCTTGCCAAGGCCTGGCCTTGCCCTCATTTCTACCTCTGGGCCTCTGCTGTCACTTCCCATATGCCTCAGGAAGTCTGCCTCCCGGGTCCCTGGCTGAACGTTTCTCAAGGCCGTCCCCTGTTGGCTGTGTGACCTGCTCTCCCTGGCTTGTGATGACAGAGTAGTGGTCAGCTTTCCTCTGGATTTCCCAGGGGCGCAGCTGTTAGAGGAGAGATCCAGCTTGGGCGTTCCTGCCCGGCGGTGGGGAAGGAACGCGTACTGGGAAGTTGGGGTGGAGGGGGGGGTCAGGCCTTGAAGGACGGCGTGCGGGCTCAGCTAGGTTTTTAGACGATGGGCCGCGGGCCAGGTAAGGGACCTCACCAGTCAGGACTCCCCTCAGTGCCTGAGCTGCCAAGGACTAGGGGTCTGCCTGCCTCCCTGTCCCTGCCCCCATGTCGACACCAGAGGGCCGTGGCCTGAATGTAGGCTGGCTGTAGCCGTGCTTGGGAGCCCTGCAGACCTCCCTTGGTGCCCTGTAAGCCTGGTTCAGGTTAACGCCTGCAGCACCGAAATGTCTTAGAGGTCAGATCTGGGAGGGGTCGGTCTCTAGAGCCTCCCCATTATGGGGAGAAGCAGAAGGGTGTCTCTGGCTGCCCTCCTTTCTGCCGTTCGTGCCGGGACAGCCGTGGTCCCACAGAGGGCCCCTGAGAGCCCCTGGAAGGTGGGAGTGTGGGCAGGTGCTTAGCCCAGCTCCCTCCCACAGCGGCCTCTCCCCCAAGGTGGACCCCCCCCCCCCCCCCCGCTCCCTGACAATCCCTCCCGCCTTTGGGGGTTCCGTGTGCTCCCTCCCAGCTGCAAGGCTGTACCCTCGGACCATTTGGAAGTGGGGCACAATCTGGGTGCCCCACCTGTTGGAGGGCCCCCAGGAAAGGGCAAATCTGCCTGCCCAACTGCCTGTCCCCAGACAGCCGAGTCCGGGAGCGGTCTTGTGTGGCCTGTGGCAGAAAGGTGGGTCAAGGAGTGGGGACGCTGGGTCTTTGTGATGCCAAAAGAAACGTGGAGGTGTGGGTCCTCCTCTGCCTCGGCTGTCAGTGACAGTGACAGCCAGCCAGCAGGTGTGGGCACGCCCTCTGTCCTGTTGCCTTGATCACAGGGGAGCCCAGACTTCCACAGCGGGCTCTGCTCTCTGAGGGGCGCGCCTGCCAGACCTCCGGCCCCCTAGTCCCTCACCCTGCGCGCCAAATCGAAAGATGGCTTTCGTGAACCTGAATCAATTTCAACAGTGTGCCTTTGGGGACAGACACGTGTCCAGGACCTCGTCAAGGGGCATCCAGATGTAGCTTCCAGGTTTGCTGCGCGGTAGCCGTGCTGGGCTGCGGCAGGGAGGGGTGCCCCTCTTGGCAGATCCGGAGGGCTGGGGGGTCCCAGACAGCCAGGCTAAACGCTGGAAAGTGGGAGGAAGGGATCGCGGCTCACACTGCACGGTCTGGAAGAAAGGGGTGCCGGCACACTGGGCCACTGGCACCAGCTCCCCGTCTGGTTCCCAGGCACCCACGTGCTCCCTGGCTGTGAAGAGAGGGCTCCCCCTCAGGGGGGCTGCCCGTCTCCTGGTTTTTCAGCTCCTTTTGTGCCAGGCACTGTGCTGCCTTAGAGGCCGCAAAGCCAGGCCAGCAGCGGCTCCCCAGGCCTCTGGGACAGCCCGGGCTTCCGTGAGCTGTCGGACCAGCGTGTGTCTGCACCAAACCCCGATGCGGTGCCTTTCTGTTTACCAGCTACTATAATCCCAAAGTCGAATCTGCAAACACCTTACTCCCAGCCACTTTGCCTTGCTGTGTTGTGTGGTTTTCATTCTGGTGCTTCTGACTCCACGTGGTTCATGTTTAAAAGGGTGTGTGCATGTGTGCGTGCGTGCACGCGCGTGTGTGTGTGTGCGCACGCGTGCAGGCATGACTGCCTTCACTGAAGAGTTGACCGTCACGTTTACCAATAAAAGTAGTACTTTTTTATTTGCTGCTATGTGTACATGTGTGTGCTGTGCGTGTGGGTGGGCGGGTGTGTGTGTGGCTGGGCATCCGTCAGTCACGTCTGGTTCGAGACCCCTCATTTCTTTAATCTGCAGGGTCTTCTACGTGGACCGCATCACAGTGTATGCTGAGTGGGTGTTATAATACTGTCGTGTCTTTGTTTGCTCGTAACGGATAGGAAGAAGTGCCCAGTCTGTCCTCTTAAGAGGATTTGACCTATTTTTATATATATTTTTTGGTACCAAAAAGAGCGTTCCTCGTTTCGGTTACGCTCAAAATTCTGACCTGGGCCTAGAGGTTTCATTAGGGGGAGATGGGAAGGACCAGAGCTTTGGACCAGTGCCGATTGCTGGCTTGATTTGTGTTTTTTAATTAAAAAAAGAAATTCATGTATGCCACTCCTGATTGCTTTAAACTATGGCTGTTTGCTTTTTTTAAAAGGACAAAAGTGAATAGGTTATGGCCCTGGGAAGCTGAAGATCTTTGTTGAAATCAGAGCAGCCCGGCCCCCATATTCAATCAGGACCTACCAGTTAGAGAGAATGCTTCCCCCAGGAAGCCCACAGTGGTTTGGGGGGAGGGGTGGGAGGAGGGGCAGAGTAGTGTGCCTAGATGACCAGATATTTTGCTCAAGTACATCTAAAGATTCTGTTGCTTTTCTAGTATTTTGGGAGAACTAACACTAGGCATACGTCGCAGGTTTTTTGTTTTTTGGGTTTTTTTTTTTTTTT